TAGGGAACTGTAAGAAGAAAATAGGCACTCGTTAGCCATTTGAGATTGAGCCAGTCACGTGATGCAAAGGCAAAAGCAGTGAATAAACATTCACCAATCGGATATGCAACCAAAGAAAGACCAGCAGCAAAACTTGTATGTGAAGATGACGTTAGTTCCATTATAAGTAGAAAAGCTATGCCATATCCATCAATACCTGATACAAGCTGATTAATATTCAAGAGAATAAACCTAAAGGGAATTTAGTTTATACATTATTTTCTCTTCTTCCTTAGTCATAGTTATTTGTTATATTTACTTGGTACTGACATCCATTTTGACGAATTGAAGGAGCACTTGAGTAATACCAGTAATAAGATAAAGTCCAAAACTCAAAACTTGTAGAATTTTTCTTCGTCCAATTCTGTCGCTAATTGGTCCAGTAACTAAAACTGTAAATCTATAAAAGCAAAACGAAATCCAGTTATGCAAAATAAAACGACAAAAACACTTCTCTTACGTTCCAATTTGGTAGACTGTCGAAAGCCATGTTTTCTTCATAGCATTGCTACAAATAAAATTCCCTTCTTCTGTAAATGTTCTTCCGTACACACTTCGATCATAGACAAAATCATGGCAAGATGTTCTATTAATATTTTCGCATTTCGACGATGACAATAGATATGCATTGAGCAAAGCTTGATGGGTAGCATTTATTGATTTATATTGATCGTCATCAGACCAAATATTTGATGGTAATCGACATCGAAATGCGGGTTCAGCAAGTCCAAAAACATAGTAAAATCCAGTTATGCCACTGCTAAAGTTGATAATGCACAAAAAGAAAAAATGAATCCATTGATATCGACCAAAATCACCACAACGTCTGAGTACGTTTTCCAAAGTGAGTTCCTCCATTGTAATACTATTGTTTTGGATTATTTTGTTTTGAATACGAATGATTAAATCGATTTCTTTTATTTATCATATTCTAATTCATAGAGCATCACATGTTAATCTAAACTTTGTTTTCGTCTTAGGCCAATAGTCGGAACATGTCTACAGTTTGCTTCTAAATCCTAGTACATTTCATAGGTCATATATTTTATTTATTAAGATTGATATCTGTCGTTAAATATCTTCTCACTTTCTGTTCTTCTTCCATACTCTATTTTTATGTTCGCTCTAGTCAATATTTACTTATAACTTTCTTACTGTGATTTGGTCCTCGTTAAAAAAGAAAAAATATACACCATGCATTTTTTTTAGCACCAAAAATAAAAGGACATGTTGAGGTCGTTTGATTCTAACGGAACTAGATGACTAAAGGAAACCTATTTTCTCTTGGTCTTGTTGATAGTGCCTTTGTTTATTTTTTGTTTTCTCATAACTCATCGAAACATTGGGAGATTCTGATTTCAGTCTTCAATGTTCCTTGAAGCTTGTCATTGTTGCAAAATGTAATAGAATGAAACAAAAAGAAAGGTAAAATTGTCCAAGATTCTGGGCAATTCGGTTATTTATTTTCATTTGATCTGCATGTTATGATCAAACAGCAGTAGCAAGAAGTATCCTATGAAATAGATGTGTATGCTCGAAAGTAATTGAAGACTTAACATTTTTCTGATCTTTGACAAATGTTAGATAAGAACAAATGTAAATAACACCTAATCCAGTGCGAGCGTCTCTCTACACGCATAGTCTTCATTACATTTCATTCTTCTCTTTGTCTAAACCGATAAAAAAAACAATACCTTTTTTGTGTAGCCAATATACTATTAAATAAGCTATTAGAGAATAAAGAATATATTATATATCGAAATTAATTATACGCAGTAAAAAAAGCAACACACTTTGCAATTGAGGATAGTTTGTAAGGAAATAATTTTAATAAATAAAACCAATTAATTTCATAAGTATAAGTCAAATATAACGAAAGAGCTCTGATAGAATTCCAATTCTGTCGGAAGTCATCTCTCTTGGCAACTATTTTAATCATTGATCAACCAGAAATCCGTGTCATGCATGTACAAATAATATGGCATTTAATGGAGTTTTGAGTTAATGCACGTGATAACTTCCGTTAAACATCTTTTTCACGTATTTTAATGACCAAAGTTTCAATAAAATATGCTTTTGTTATCGAGCATGTATGAAAGCATATATAAATTTCAAACGTCTTTTCATGCGCATTATTATCGTTTACGACGATAACATCATTTTCTGCTATGAAAATCTAAAATTCATTTGCATTGATTTTCTTGCATTTTTCAAGTGATAACAATCAATATCACGTTATCGACTGCGAAATGTTGCGCTTGTTCTTTCCAGCAGTGTCACATATCCTGCAGTTTGGAGAAGTGCTCACATCTCTGCCGGGAGATGCTGCATTTTCAGCAGGAGATGCAGCACCCAATGTGAGGGATGCACATCTCTCAATGAGATGATACATCTCCAACAGCAAATCATCGGATCTCCCGAGTGTGGGTACCGCGTCTCCTGCGGGAGATGCCGCATCTCCTGTGGAAGAAGTGAGCACTGCTCCAAAATCTTGGATATGTGACACCACTCAAAACATTAGGTCATATCTATACGCTTTCGAGAACAATGTTCTATTTAATCATTAATCATGATGTTATTGTAAACTAGATAATTGTTTTNCTTTTTGTGATTTGTACAATGTATACAGTTATTAAAATAAAATAGAATCAAATAGAACTAACTATTCAAGAAAAACGAAGTAAATTATGTCAAGGATGACTATAATCGATAAGATATAATCGAAAAGATTTATAATCTTTAGTTGTCGTGCTCTTTGACAGAGAAGTAATTAAATGTGGGACATCAAAGAAAATGACGGTATACAAAATCTATTTAAGTCCTGAACTCCCAAATCTAATAACACAATGACCTTTGTATATTTATTCATCACTTTTGCTCCAACATTTGTCATTTATCGTTCCCTCTACATAGATGTTAAGATGCCTTACAACATGCAAACCTATATTACGCATAATAGAACACTCAACTGTCATAATTAACCTTTAAATTGATTTACAGAACATGCCATAAATGACTAAATGATAAACAATGGGAATACCATCACAGCTGAAGTACAATCTAGCAAACTGATTTTTGGATTAATAGTATAGGTCTAATCCATTTTTTTTGTATACGGATAACATAAATATCGTTCGAAAGAATTATTATTGAGGTCATAAAAAATGTCAGTTTCTTATCAAGTAAGAACATATATGTGAATTGACTAGATTCGAACGTGACTGATTTTTTGATTACGGATAGTTAAAGTCGTTAAAATAGCCAAACATTCCGTAATTATATTAACTAATTAGGTGTTCTACCACATAAATAACCTCGTTTTTTTTGCATAAATCCAATATCTGTGACTACTTTCATATGTAATACGTGACGATAATATAAAGCAAGCATAACATTAACCATCATTTATATTTTGAAAAATAAAATGCCACAATACAGTGAAGCTTTAGATTTATGATATCTGTCGTTTTGTTTCGATAAGTTAATAGATAATATCTTATGTGGAAATCAATCATATTAGATTTTTCTTTGACGATATCTTTCTTGTAAATTAGAAATTATCAGATCAGTTTTCTAATCTTATTTAATATTAAGTTTAATAGTTATTTCAATATTAATGAGAGTGAAAAAGAAAAACTACTTATAACCTGTATTTAATAAAAAATGAAAAAGTGAATTTATTCATGTGCTCATAGTGTACATAGAAGATACATTGAATGATGTCAATATAAACAGAAATTCTCTGTCGATGATTGACTAATTTTTGCGTCAGCACACTGTAAATTTTTTTTCTTATTGCCTTTCATAAAAATACTTTACCAAATGCTATTGTCGATTTATTTTAAGTACATTTATGTGTAACGGCATTATGCGTAACAAAAAGGTGCTTGTTCTACGCTCTTCTTCAAAGAATCCAAAATTTAAGATTATTTCGATTATATATCCATTGATCTTCTTTTAATACTCATATCTAATTTAGTTTTTCTTTTTGCTCATAAAAGATTCTTGCATAAGCATAAATATCGTCTTTGTATAGATTGTTGAAATATTGATTATTGTCTTAGGCTTCATAGTATGGATTCTATTTTATTGATTCATTCTTCTTGTCTATTATGAAAAGGTCATATTTATCTTAATACCTATCATCTGGAAATATTTAATCAGCTTTATTTTTCTATCATATTATAAGGACAATAAAAAGTATGATTGTCAATATTTTGATTTGATTAATATTCAGAACTTTTTTTAAAATTCTGTTTTCTCTCTTCATAGCATATTCAAATGTTCATTAAGAGTGAGAAAATAACAAGAACATGCTCTACTATATATGCATGCCTATCAAAATAAGTGAGAGAGAGAGAGTAAAGCATTAATTGTCATGGATGTAAAGTATAATCGAAATAAAATATCGTGTGGACATTTTATTATTTCGGAACCATTTTATGTAATTATTCGTTCAATTTCATATAAGTTTAATTATTCATTTAAATCAACTAAATTTCTAATTGTAATATTTTTACGAAACATTTTAACTAAAGGTAATATAAGAAGATAATACAATCTTTTTTGTCGAATTCATCATTAAATGAGAATGATATCCTTGGAATCGATTATTTATTATATTCAAGCAAAAATTAATCAAATACTCTTTCTTTTTTAGATATTTCTAGTTCGTCGTAGTGAAACTATCTGTTACGTAATATAATTAATCGACTTCTTATAAATTTTCTAAGTTCTGCAACGTATATAAATTTATCTATTAAATCATAAAGTGGTGTAAGTTAAATAGAATATTCTATAAAAAAAAATGGTTTTTTATACCTTTAAAGACAAAAAAATAATTATCATCAATATCAACAAATAATTCTTATATAAATGAAAAAGATTTAAATATAAAACATGAACATAGTAATGATGATATTCGTAATAATAAAAATAATGATAAAATAACATGGTCAAAAATGTCTTCATCATTAAGTACAATTCTTTTCTTTCAAGATTCTTATCATTTCAATTTATTAACAGGTGATTCTGGTGTTAATTATCCTGAAATATCTATTCGAAATCATCAAAAATATGATGATGATAATGAAATATCATTAAGAAAATATGATTCAGATATAGGACTTCATCATGATACACGTAAATAAAAATATTTTCACAAAAAAACAAAATCTTCTAATTTTTCTTTTTCTTTAAGAAACAGTCACTGAATCTTATGTTATGCCTTATATATCAACAGAAAAAGGTTTAGAACGTGCATTGGAACAAACAAATCGATTTTGTTCAGGTCTGGCACATATTGCAACTGATCTTGACACATGAACGAAACAATGTCCAGAATTTTATCAATCTCTTGGGCCCACTTGATTGGGATTGGATTGATGATGTTCAATCACCTAAAAATAATCAACGAAAACAACATTAACAATTAATACATTCAAGTTATAAAAATAAAATTTGAGGATGTTTAAATATAAACATAAATCAAACGGAAAATAATAAATCAGATAATGAAAACCGTTCATTTGATTAGTTTACTTCACTACTACGGCGAACTATGAAATTAAAAAAGAATTTCCTTGATCAAATCGTTTTCATTTTAGAACATAGTTCAACTTATTTTGGTTCAACAGATAATACAAGTGACGAAGATCATCTAGATCTGTATTTTTATGTTTAAAATGGTTTTATATTTGTAATTGATATTCTTGCGTCAGAGTTATAAGTGTTTTCAAATAAATTCAATGAGTAATGTTTGAAAGGACATTGATTTCTACAAAGTTTCACTGCAACATTGAGATAGCAACCGTATCAAAACATCCTCTTTTAATAGCAGCGTGTTCCAATTAGACATGTGTAGGATCATTCGTTTTTTGGTATCGATCCCAGTGTTGCTCATCTTTATTTAGATCACACATGAAAGGTGATATTATGACATTCGACGCAAGTTGTACACCATCATAAATGGTATCTTTCTCAATGAAAAATCGTTGGTTTCTGGTTCCAGAAACATCTCACCTATATTTAATTGCAATGCTTCAGTTAATACTAGAGTCAACGTGCACTAACCACACTGAATCAGTGGTCAATAAACGGAACATGCATATCCTAATTTCTATATGAATTATAGCTTCAAAAGAAACTCTTGAAAATGATTTATTTAGTTCGATTAGGTCACTTTTTTTTTCTCTCATGGCATTTTCATCATGTTACCTACGGCAATATATATATATTCGATTAGAGATTGTTGATAGATTATGATCAAACGAATGTTTAAGTGAAATTTTAATTTATTTATTATGTAGAATGAATATTCACAGAGAATTTTTTTTCTAAATAATTATCAGTTATACTATTTGATTTTATGTAAAGTGAGATGAAAGTTTTTAAAAATATGTAAAAGACAAGAGGCTTGTTTGTTTCTTTTTGTGATTTGTACAATGTATACAGTTATTAAAATAAAATAGAATCAAATAGAACTAACTATTCAAGAAAAACGAAGTAAATTATGTCAAGGATGACTATAATCGATAAGATATAATCTAAAAGATTTCACTTTTAGTTGTCGTGATATTTAATTGAGAAGTCATGAACAGTGAGACAAGAAAGAAAATAGCGGCGTGCAAAACCTGTCGAAGTCTCGATCTCTCAAAATCTAATAACATAATGACCCTTGTATATTTATTCATCACTTTTGCTCCAACATTTGTCATTTATCGTTTCCTCTACATAGATGTTAAGATGCCTTACAACATGCAAACCTATATTACGCATAATAGAACACTCAACTGTCATAATTGACGTTTAAATTGATTTACAGAACATGTCATAAATGACTAAATCATAAACAATAGTAATATAATCACAGCTGAAGTATAATCCGGCGAACTGGTTTTTGAGTTAGTAGTATAGACCTAATTCAATGGGTTTTCTTTTGCAGATGGATAACAAATATTGTTCAAACGAATTATTATTGACGTCATAAAAGACATGAACTATTGTCAAGTAAGAAAAATATGTGTGGATCAACTAGAACTGAGCGTGGTTCATGGCCATGGTCGTGATTGTTACTAGTTTTTTTTAAAGATTCGTGACCGTAATTAGACTTTAGTCATGGAGAGTTAAGTCGTTAAAAAAGCTATGCATACTCTATTTCTGTTAATTATTTAGATGTTCTACTATACAAATGATCTCATTTTTTTGCATAGATCCAATATCTGTAACTACTTATATATGCAATAAGTGACATACGTAAAGAATGCATAATATTCATCATAATTTATTTTTTGAACAATAAAACTGTCATAATAAAGCCAAACGTTAGACGTATGGTCTTTCTCGTTTTGTTTCTAGACGTTAACAGGAATAGCTTAATTGAAAATCAATTTTATTAGATTTCTCTTTCACAATATCTTCCGAGTTGCAGCTAAATTGCCAATTATTCAATTAATTAGATAAATTTTGTTATCTAATATTAAATTTATTTTGTTTTCTTTCCATTCGCTTTGACTTATAAAATTGATTTATTTTTGACCTTCATCAATAACACATTTAGTTTACGTCAAGAGGAAATTAATTGAAACCTTACTCAGATTAAGTCTAAATCAAAATATCAGAACATTTAACTATAGTTATCGCTGTTAATAAATCTTCCAATGTTGGTTCGGTACATTTTCAAGAGCAAGTCATAAATCAGTCTTAGTTCTTACTTTAAAACATAAGAAGAGAAACTCAAAACAAACTATATGAATCATATCACACGGATGCAAATCAAGCAAATATTTTCAAACTAATTTGTTTAGAAATCGATGGTTAGAAATATTTCAAAGTTTCACGCTTGAAATATTAGTTTTACAAGCAAGTTAATAAATTGATATCTGAAGCTTTAATTAAGACTCTCTATATATCTCACAAATTAGACTGTCTTATTAAATGATAGTAAGAGCTATTTATTACTTCGCTTGTATATTCATGTAAAAAATAATGCATTTTAATAAAATGAAATTAAGATTACATAGACTGAATTGGATACAATAGTTTACCGATGTTATATACAATATTAAATTAGAAAGAAAGCTGAATGTTTACTAAGATTGATATTGATTAGTAACATGATTATCAGAAAAATTCATTTGAAATATTTGAGAATTTTCAGTTATAGAAATTTCCGAGATTGTATCGTCGTTTTCAAAGAGAAGATGATCGTGTATTTCAACATTTTCATCAATTGATATCACAGTATGATCGACCAATGAAAGCTTGTTGGTGACTATTTCCGAAAGTTCAATATTCTCTTTGTTATCATTCGCTTTTGTAATCACTTCTTCAACAAATATTTTTTTTACTAATTCATCTTGAACAACTGGAGCTGATGAAACGATCATTCCCATGATCAAACATAAAGCAAGAAAAATGAATAGAGTTCGATTAGAAATCATTGTATTGTGTAAATCAAATCTCTTGTGCATGAACAAGTTGAATGAGATAGATAAATGAATATGTTATGTTATACATTACGCGCTTTTCTATTTGATCGAAAATTGATAATATTTCCTCTTTTATTTGTTTATTCTCCTATTCTCGACTTATAGATGCTACTATGGATAGACTAACGAGAAAACATTTTCAACTAATCACAGATTTTTTCATAAAAAGCTAGTAAATTGTAAATCATTGACTTCAGGTCTTCATAAACTCGTTTTCCAGACTAACAAACATTTTTAAAATCATTTTTTAATCTACTCAGATTATAAAGCATATTAAATTTTCACTAATATTTTCTGTAAGAAAAAAACCATTTGAAAAAGAAAAGTTACTGTTTTCTAGGTAATTCAACATGTTGTACGATCTGGAAAGTGCACAAATAATTTTTAATAAAAATCTTTTTAGTCTAGAAAAGCAGAATAAGAAAACATCGGGAGAATTTCTCATAGCCATATTCGAATTTAGCATGGTCAATAATTTACAATCCATTAGCTTTCGGTGAGAAAGTGATTGTTCAATTGAAAACATTTTCTCGTAAAATACAATAATAGACAATGTTCTGTTCGATCTACATCATTTTATCATACAATTTCAACCTTCATATATGATCTTTAGCGAATCACCATCTATTAGAAAAAAAAAACAATAATTTTATTGTATATAAAAACTAATATAATAAATAATTTCCAATAGGAAACTATTTGAAAGACCGATTCTCTTCAATATTTAATTCACTTAAATTGAAGAGCAAAATTAGTTCGAGATATCGAAATATTTCAAAACAGAAAATGCAAAAATATTCAATTAGACTCCATTATCTACGTGTATAAAAAATTGAAAATTGATTTTTGAAATGAAGATAAATTTTTATTATATTTATTGACTCGTTCTTTTGTGAAACATGATCCAGAAATGGATATTGAAATATGGAAGTAAAAATTTGCACTCCTTCCACTCACTGACTACTTATAAATAACATCTCGTTCTAATATATGAAATACTTCCTTATTACATTCCTGGAGAAGGATGGTGAAAAAATGTTCCCCACATTGATTGGATACGACAATCTTCCTGTAATTATCTACAGCACCTACACATAATCGTGCTTCATATTTTTATCTCAGAGGGAGGGATTATGCCAACGGCTTTGTTTTTTAAAAAATGATTTTAATTTCAAAAGTCTTCTTAGAATGAATTTGTAAATGTTGTAATTATATATAAGAATGCAAGTTAATAACATATTAATTGTTTGAGTGTTGTTTTTTTTTTATTTATATGAATCATTTTATTCACACAGATAATAGAAATAATTGTAATCTATCAATGAAAAATAATAAAACAAGATAAGTCAATAATACATCATTTTTAAAAACGAGACAAAGATTTCATCTATTCGTAAGATTCCATTTTCGTGTCAACACTTACAATAAAAACAAAAAAAATTCTCTTATTGTTAATTGTATAAAAAACAAAAAAGAAATTATTTGTTATTTATCAAATTTAAAATACACACATGTACATATATATAATTATCACAAAAAACAATAAGCAGATCTCGTCATTTTTCTATCTCTTTTTTTAAAATTATGCACATAAAATACAACAATAATGCCTATATACATACTGAAATGATAATAAAACTATTTGTGTATTGCATTATATACATTAAAACAAAACAAATTATCAATCATCATTATTATTCGCATTCGGAATAAATTTTAGTAGAAGTGCAGCATCAACATTCGTTGAACATTGTGGACATGTTAGACTTTTTTGTAACCATCCATCTATACATGTTGGATGAAATACATGTGCACCATCGCATGGTAGTTGTCGAACTTTTTCATTAGATATAAAATCAATTAGACAAATAGCACAACTAAAACAACAAAAAGAAAAAGTTATTTTTTTACTTAATTTTAAAGTAAATATTTCATTTACTCAGTTTGTTTGATTAGTTTTTCATTATAATTAATTAATGACAAATGTTCAAAAAGATTTCGACATTGTGCTTCTTTAATAAGATTAATATCTGTAGTTACGGATGAATTACCAGACGATCGGTTTACTGTAACTAACTGAAAATTGGTTCAATTGTTTTACGATAAAAAAAGCGAATAAATAAAAAAGAGGTTTACTTTAGGGATAGATGTATCAGTTGGAGTAGAAGTTGAATTTGAACTCGAGGAAGGTACTGTCACTGGAGCATAACGAGTAGAAGGCATTGGTAGAAGACTAGCACGATCATCTGGCACTCGCCAACAATTACCCATTGGAAGAAGAATATGTTATCAAATCTGCCAAAAAATTAGAAACCTAACAATCAAAAACAAAACACATATGTATTTATATATCAATTACAAATAAGGCGTAGAACAACATCAGCTGGTATGCCCTACCACTACCATTTCATTTCATTTCTATTCTCTTGAATACGATTGATTGAAAATTTATCATATAGATTATCCAATCTTAAAATAGTTTATTTTTTTTATTAATTTTTTAAATCGAATCTATTTACCAATACATATAAAACCAACTTTTATTATCAAATCTCTTTCAAAACAGATGTCACTAAATGTATTGAAAAGCAAAAATCACTTCGTTAGAGATGCACACATGCACTTGTCTGTCATGGCTGTTTTGTCGTCGTATGATTGTTTTCATACGCTTTTTCAATCGTCTAATTAATTAATTTTGATTTTAGATATATTATTTCTTCCCGTTCCCTTATATTTAATTTCCCATTTAAAAAAAATGAGCAATAATCGTCAATCTGCTACTGGTCCAGCAGCACGAACATGTCAGTTTAAAATGGTTCTATTAGGTGAATCCGCTGTTGGTAAATCATCCTTGGTACTTCGTTTTGTTAAAGGACAATTTCATGAATATCAAGAATCAACTATAGGTGCAGCATTTCTTACTCAAACTGTATCTGTTGATGATACAACAGTTAAACTTGAATTATGGGATACAGCTGGACAAGAAAGGTAAATTAAGTTCTTTTTTCAAAATTTCAATCAAATAATTTCTTACTTTTTATTATCTTTCATTGTTAGATATCATTCATTAGCTCCAATGTATTATCGTGGTGCTCAAGCTGCAATTGTTGTTTATGATATAACAAATGCAGATACATTTAGTCGAGCTAAAGTATGGGTTAAAGAATTACAACGTCAAGCAGCACCAAATATTGTTATTGCTTTAGCTGGTAATAAAGCTGATTTAGCTACTAAACGACAAGTTGAAGGTGTTGATGCTCAAACATATGCAGAAGAAAATGGTTTAATATTTATGGAAACATCAGCTAAAACATCAATGAATGTTAATGATATATTTATGGCCATAGCAAGAAAATTACCCAAAACTCAAGATACATCAAACGCAAGTGGTGGACGAGGGCGTAGTAATGATGGTCAATCAATTCAAGTTAATCGATCGTCAAATCAAAGGGTAGCTGGAAATGATAGTGGATGTTGTGGTAGCAAGTAAATGGATATTTCTTTGTCGTGTTTCTTTTTCTAATTTCTTCATGAATAAAAAAAGACGCTCTTCACGATCAAATTGAATTTGTCAAAAATAAAATTTGAAACATATATCTTTAATTTTTCTTTTTCTCTTTTCTGTTTTTGTTTAATTTCTCTTGTCTTGTATCGCTGTAAATCTCTTTGTTGTCTTTTGTTTGCTTCTGCCCTTTTCTTTTCAAATATTTAAAAGAAGAAACCAACCAACGTAACTTCTATATTATATATATACGTATGCATATATCCATTGTATTCGATCTTTTTATAACTATTTCTCTTTGCATTCAGTTTTTTTTCTGTCGCGTGTGATGATTTTGGCCGCTGATTTTTTGTTTGTTTGTTTGTTTCCACAAAGAAGGAGAAGAAGAAAAAATACAGTTTATCTTTTTTTATGATATATCAGCTTGAGGTGTCGAATACAGACAATCACTTATGTTTGCATGCAATAATGTGAAACACAATGAAAAAAAGCACGTTTTTATGTGTTTTCTTTTTTGTAAAAAAAAAAGAAAGCAAAAACACAAAACATATTATTTTATATTGTAGACTGAACGAAACATGGATATATCGATATTTAAACTTCTTCGTTCATTGTTTCTTGTTCTATTTATTACAATTATGGAATATAAACGTGGTTCATTTACACTTTCAGGAGCTTTATCTGGTTTTATACTTTGTTTAATAATAGCTTATTCAAATATTGTTTTTTTATTTGTTATGATAACATTTGTTTTAAGTGGTTCATTTGTTACACGTTATAAATTTGATATAAAACAATCGAAAATTATTGAAAATGATAATCAAATAGAAACAAAAAAATATAAAAAAACTGCACGTAGTCATATTCAAGTATTATGTAATGGTGTGATAGCGTGTTTTTATGCAATAGGTTATTGTTGGAAAACAAATTATTCTGGTCTTTCATTACCTATTGATAATAAACATGAATCGTCTATTTATTCAATTGGTTTTATTTTTACTATTGTTTGCTGTTGTGGAGATACATTGGGTAAATTGGTAAAGTTGTGTTTTTTTTTTGTAACTTCGTCATATTATTGTACTTGCTTAGTACTAAATAACTATAAAGTCTTAGATCGATAGCTTTTACTATAGATAAGAAACTGTAACAACATTACCGTGCACTATTTTATCAATTTTCGAGGTACTTAAGTTGATATGTTTACAGCAAAGCAACTTTTTGAAATAAAAACAAACGCATATCATTTTGTCAGCGTTCCTTTGTTTAATTATCATATTGATCAAAAGCTAATTTTAATCATGCTAGTATTCATCTATTATTGCTCGATAGAAACACTATCATAGTTTCTCTTTTAATACAATCGAGAGGCATTCTATAGACTAAATGTCAGCTAGTTATGCAATATAATTTTCTGGTTCAATTCGAAAAATTTAGAAGCATCTGAATCATAGTTGCAATTCTATACTTGGTTTTATATTCGCATAATGTTATTGCTAATTACTTTGAGTACTTACATGATGTGCGTATATAGCTCAGCATCTATATTTCTAAGGTTATTCTATCATGAATTAATATTGAACCAGGTGCATTCAAAGCATATGAAATTTTGAGGATATGTTAACATTATAGTGGAGAGGCTATGATAATATTGTCAGTTCTATACTATGACGTTTTCCGGAAATTTCATTCCATAGATTTCATATCTTTTTTTATCTGAAAGGAAAGGTCAGAATGCAGATCCTGATGGAGTCCTTTATTTTACAATTCTTACTTTTTAAGTAAGGAAAAGAGATGAAAAGTTCAACAAATCGAAGACTTCTCAGAAAATTGTCATTTATTTATAGAGATGCTTTCTTATATGTATATAATAATAATAATACTGCTTAATTCAAAAAAGAAAGTTCGTCATGCCTTGTATCTTGATATGCTCTTTTACACAGAAAACAACAGAATAAAATGTATAGAATGAATGTTCGCAGAGGGCGAGAGTTCTTGATTGCGAGATCAAAAAACCACAAACAAAGAAAAAACAGAAAAGATTCGCTGATGTTTCTGAAAAAAGTATACTGTTTAAGAAGAAGACAACGGAAATCATCAAAAATTTTGACAAAAAACAAAGGTGTCAAAAAAAAATCATGTTGTTTCCAATTCAATTCAATACATGAGTGGAGTTGTCCAGCACTATTGTGATATATTTGTATAGTATTTAATGAACTCAAGTAATTAGAAAATTAATAAAATAGTGCATGATAGTGCTGTCACAATATCTCACCTATAGAAAAAGCTATCGATCTGAAACTTTATAGGTATTTAGTACTAAGTCAATACAATAATCTGCCAAAGTTCAAGAAAAAAACTTTGATTCTATTAAACACAAGAATGATGAGTTTTAAAATCGTTTCAAAAATTTTGAAGTAACGGTCTATCGAAAAGTTTTTGGACAAAATGTTTGTCCATTTTTGACTCACTTAAAACTATTCTAGATGAATGAAAAATTATCAGTTATGACCAGAATTTTGTGCTCTTTCCGAATATGAGCTCAGAAAATGTGTATCTGTTTTTTTGTCCTAGAGTACTGATGGAATCTTTGGACGTCCTGAAAAATTGGTGTCAGGGGCGAAGAAACAGGTACTTTCGACCTTCGTAAGTCTGTTTGCAAAGGTGCTAAGAATGGTTCAATTTGATAATTTTGTAGAGCGAACAATTATTTACAAAATATTATGTCGAACTAAAGTGTAGGTTTTACACAAGTGAAACTGTAATCATTTTCGCAAGAGCTACATCTACCTAAATCGAAGTTTGATCAAAAAGCTTGTTTTTCAAAAATGTGGCTGATAGAAAAATAATAATTTAGGTATTTTATCAGAACAAAAAAAATAAACTCAAATACCACATTTTCTAGAACAAATTTTTCTCTACAAGCTAATATGTGAAGAAAAGTTTCAGCATTTAGTTTTGAGTACCAATAGTGGAAATACGAAAATGTATGAAGAAATTTTCCGTTCGAACTATCTTTTTAGGCCTTTCAAAGATTTTCTCTCTACTCTCGAGCAAAAATAGATGCACAATTTCTGAGCACATATTCAGAAAGAGCACAAAATTCTCATCCTAACCCATAGTTTTTCATTCGTCTAGGATTCTTTTAAGAGAGCCAAAAATGGGCAAACATTTTGTCCAAAAACTTTTCGATAAACCGTTATTATTTATTCAAAATTAATTTTCTATTATAGCATCAGAACTTGGTTCTGTTCTTGCTAAACATAATCCACGTTTGTTAACAAATCCATTTCGAATTGTTCCTGTTGGTACAAATGGTGGAATATCAGTTGTCGGATGCTTATTTAGCTTATTCGGTGGTTTTATTATCGGTGTTAGTTATATTATTGGTAATATGATATTTTGTCGATCAGATTATATGATTAATACATGGACGATAAACATTCAATTACTTCTCTATTGTACATTATTTGGTTTTCTAGGTTCTTTAATTGATTCATTATTAGGTGCAACTTTACAATTTAGTGGTTATGATAGAGAACGTAATGTTACAGTTCAAATACCTGGACCATCAATTGAACGAATATGTGGTCGAAATATATTATCAAATAATCAAGTAAATGTTATCTCATCATTCCTTACATCCATTATTGCTATTTGGATTTTGCCAAGTATAATGGTTTGATATTTTAGATTTGATCAAAAGAATTATTTCTTTTTTGTATCTTTTTTGTTAATTTTGTATTATAAAAGTAAATTAGAAGTGATTAATTATTAGTAACAATATTTAATGATTTGATAAGATGGATAGAATATTGATATTTCAAATAAGTCTTTGTACGATGAGAGAAATTTATTGAGTATTGCTGTCGAATGGGAGCATTTAATTCTTTTTCATTTACATTCAAAAAAATATGAGAAGAAGTAATTGTCGATCAGTAAAATAAAAATATTCTTGTTAGATTTTTCAAATGGAACTTATAGTACGACATTCATGCGTAAAAGAAAAAGATAAAAAATAGATATATCATTCATATAAAAAGGATTAGAATAAGATCTATTTTATGTGACTAAAATGATCAACCAGACGTCATCAATTTTGAGTATAGCTTGTTCTATTGACACTATCAAGAAGATTTTTGTGTTTTAAATATAATTTGGAATTTTTTGTTTGAAATACTTTTGCATTGAAATACAATCATGTCTTTTACATTCCTTTTATAAAATGTGTACACAAATAGTGTCATGTTTTGCGAATGAAAAGTGAATATGCAGCGAAATCTTCGAGATATAAAATGTTACAATGAAGAGAAACTAATATTCATTATGTAATGGATAGAGAAGAATAAATGAGCTTTTCACTATTGTCTCAATATTTCTGTTATCTCTTATCGTTTCAGGCTGAACTTTTCTCCAAAATCTACAACCTGAATCTATCTACAAAACCACAGGAACACGTATGTTAACAAAATAGAATTATTGTGACCATGTATTGTTAACAAATTTCAATTATGATTTTAAGAAATAATTCTTATGTCATATACAAAGAATAGTGTTCGTGGCGTTTGTTTGAGAACAGAGATGGACATCTCCGTGACAACAAATCAAAGACATGCTACTGTCAATTCTTTTATTCATTGACAGTAGCTATCCTTTGACTTGTTGCCATGAAGATGCCCAGTCCTATTTCAGAAACTGAAAGTAAATATATCGGTGCATCAGTGTCGACAAAACGGTACGATTTGTTTTTTGATTCAGATCAATTGATGAGAAAAAAAAGTTGAAAATACATGCAAATTTAAGGTAAAATTTTAAGTACTTGCGTGTTTCTATTGAACAGAAGGCTATATCAGAAAACATAAAATACCATTTGGTAGCTGCTAATGAGATGTGTCGAGTGAACCCTATGGTTGAAAATTTACAGAAGAGTGGAAAGTATTACGCCTATCAGAAGAAATTATTTGCATCCAGTCTATGGTCTGTTGAGAAAA